TTTTAGAGTCTGTTTGACTCATTTCTAAACACTTCACAGTTCTTCTCGAAAATAGTTTTCCTTTGAAGCAGACATCTTTAGAAAAAGTAAGAATTTGTACAAACTGAACTCTGTAATTGGTTGTTTATGACATCATGCAACTTGAGCTCAATTCACAAGCATTAGCAAGAAGTCACATGACCATTGCCGTTATTTGGGTCATGAGACATGTGCACATGTGTAAAAGGAGCTAGACAGAATGGGGAAGAGATTTTCCTTGCTACATTCGGTACAAGAAACCTTAACCAATTAAGGGAGAAATGTTACAAAAGTGTATACTATATTGCAGAGCAGCCCCCTGTAGCTCCATAGCAGGATCACTGTTTAAGTGTTATGAAATATGCATTGAAGTTTTGACTTGAATAAGCCCATTGATGGAGCTGCATGACAGAGCTCACTCTCCTACAGCGTCCTCAAACACTTTGGCTGTGTTTTACCAGAAGGGCCCCCTGGTGCAGCTCCTTGAAAAGGCTAATCATGAGGTTTATGTGGCTCACACACTTATCTCTGACTTTGCTAGAGTTACAATCACTCTCATCTCGAATAGGAGACCACATGGAGATGGATTTGATGTAGGCCTAGCTTTGTAGTGTGACTTTATAAGCATATCAATTGAGCAGTCATTTCCAACTCTCTCTCTCTCTCTCTCTCTCTTTCTAGAAACATTTTAATAACAATAATAATAATAATTATTAACAATAACATTTATTTATTTACAGTGACTCTGCTTAGCATTGTAGCAGTGCTTTTTATCTATTTAGTTATATTGAAATAAAAAATAGATTATTTCGATTATTTCCGATATTTTTATATCACCCTCAAAATAATTTGGAATAATACTCTGTTGTTTCTGTGTGATCACTAGAGGTGTATTATGGGAATGAATGTGCTGCACACTTCTGATAGCTTTTAAGTGATAAAGACACATAAGCACTGATAAAACACTGATATGAATGCAAACCCTGTATCTGAAGAGTTGATGGTATAGATGTATGTATATGTGTATGTCTCCATTCTTCATATCCATTCACTTGCACAAACACCCTGTCATCCAATCACTGGCTCACTCTCCTCTCTCCCCGCCCCCTGTTGCTATGGAGACTCAGGAAGTCTTCCAGGTGCCTTGGTGGTTGGGCAATACAGCAACGTCTGTTCTCACTCACATCTTCATGTTTCCTCTTCACTCTGAGCTTCTTAATTTCCTTCTCCTGTTCACTGTCATTTTATTTCTTCTGTTTTATCCTGCTCATCTCATTTTCCTTTTCCATTATGTCATTTTCATTATGTCTTTCCTTATACATTCTTCACTCTTTTTCTCTACATCTTGATTTTCTTTCCCCTCCTTTTTCGCATCTTTTTCCCCCTTAATTTTTCTCTGCACATTGAGTCGTTTTGTTTTCACAGTGTCCAGAGTTCTACATGCAAGTGATTTTCTTTCTTTCTTTATTTTACTCTAGTTAGACACCGATCATTCTAATTTGGCCATCGTTTGTGTATATGGTGTAAATATGCATCGTGTTGAATTAGCTCTCAAACGTGATATTCAATACTAGGTATCAACTAGGGTCAAAACGTGTGTAATTTGGAAAACGTTATAAGAGTCACATTTGTGTACAAAAAACACCTGGCAGACATTGTAAATATTTTACCATTCAATAGTTTGGGGTCAAAGATTTTTTTTAATGTTTTTGAAAGTCACTTATGCTCTCCAAGTCTGCATTTATTTGATCAAAATAACAGAACAAAAACAGTAAAAATGTGAAATATTATTGTAATTTAAAATAACAGCTTTCTATTTGAATATGTTTTAAAATGTAATTTATTCCTGTGATGTCAAAGCTGAATTTTCAGCATCATTACTCCATTCTCCATTACTCTAATTTGCTGATTTAGTGCTCAAGAAATTAATTAATTGTAGAACTGTGATAATTTTTCTCTGGATTCCTTGATAAATAGAAAGTTCAGAAGAACAGCATTTATTTGAAATAGAAATTATATTCTTCAATGTTTACTGCCATTTTTGATAAAAGTATTAATTTCTTAAAAAAAACACCAACGTGATATTCAATACTAGGTATCAACTAGGGTCAAAACGTGTGTCATTTGGAAAACGTTATAAGAGTCACATTTGTGTACAAAAAACACCTGACAGACATTGTAAATATTTTACCATTCAATAGTTTGGGGTCAAAGATTTTTTTACTTATATTCGGGTCAATACGGTAATAATAAGAACTCAGATAAACCTTATATTGCCATAGTCGTGTGTTTATTAGTCACGTTGAATCGATGAAAGCAGTTGAATCTTCTGTTTATTCAGCTGCAGCGATTTTTTTCGGGGTTTCTTCAGCGAGGCGTATTTGGAGTTTCAGCGCGAGAGCGCCCTCTGGCCTTTGGATGGAGATTTACTGCTGATCACAGAACCGTGCTTCACTGAAAGTTACGCATGACAATCACAGCTTCTCTTTTTTTCGAACAACTTAATAAAAAAGTTATGATTCCAAACTTTTGACCGGTAGTGTACATCTTAAAAATGACATAAACATACATGTCTGTAGCTGTTCTAAGTTTGAGAGTAACTCAGATAATCTGCAAACAGCACAAATATTGTGATATTATCAGCAGAATAAATTCAGGATCTTGTGAAAATGAAAGTGCAAGACATTTGATATCTGTGAGACGTGATTTGTTTTTATCCTCCAATTCTTCATGCCATCTGACCCAGATCCTCACAACCCTATCAGTGTACACCAGCGACTGAGCTTGCACTGACCCCAGGTATATAAACACAGGGGTTGGCTTTGTGTGTGGTCTTTGTCTGTCCTCAATTACAGATTAGCTCAGATTTCAATTACTCCTCTCCCTGTGTGCCATGGATTCATGTTAAAGCACGAGCAAGAAGGTTTTGGGGGAGATATTTCAGCAAGACCAGCAGAAACGGCAAGAGACGTTGCACATCTGGTGTGTCCTCGCTCCACAGTCTGACCTTGTTGTACCAGGAGAAAAGACATTCTGACAGGCCTCATGGGAGAGACTAGCTAGATAGAAAGACAGTAAAAAGAGACAGAAGGAGAAAGAGAGCCTCAAACTCTAAATGCCTCTCTCAGTGTTCAAGTTTTCTTGTAGTTTTCCTCCCAGTTTGATAGAGCTAAAGATTCTAAATGTAAAGAATCTGAAGACTAAAGATTCTGTTTCTAAAAATTATAACAATGTTTCCTGCAGCATTATGTTTTTGAGTTAACTGAATTTGTCAAATTAACAACCTGACAGTAGTTAGACTGAAGTTTTGCTAACATTGTAAAAAAAAATCCGTAAAATTTACGGTAAAAAATACAGTAGCAACATTTTAGGTTTTACGGTTTTAACTTAAATTTACAGTTAAATACCGTAATTTCATTAACTGAAATAATGTTAATATACTAACCTACAGAAGTACTGAAATCTGTTTTGTACCTTTGTAATAAACTGATAACCACCAAATGCAGATGGTGATGAGAAAGTCACATGATGAACCAAAGCCCATCACAAGCAGTAATAACATATATATATAGGGCTGGGTATCGAGTTCAATACTTTTTAGGCACCGACCGAATTGCCTTGATACTATCGAGTATCGAAAAATGTCTTGTCGTTCGGTACCAAATTTCGATATCTAAGGGGTTAATCTCATCAGCGTCAGTGAGCCAATAAGCGTGCAGCACTTGCCGGTGTGTTCGACTAGAAGAGGCGCAGCGCAGATCGATCATCCGCGAGAGCGATTCGAAAGCGCACGGAGCTCTCTTTAGCTCTCGTGGTACTGTAATACCACCAGTATAGAGTAGCGCGGGCGCTGCGTTTAGTTCCGATCATATGCAGATGCCCGTTCATACTAACGTTACACGACCAAAATCATGTGTTATGTGACCATTCATGCAAACTGTAGCATCATGCTACATAAGACAATAAATAAGATTTATATTCCGTTTTTACTCAAAACTCACTTTAAACCACCATCGAGTGTTTGTAATAACTTACGATTGCCGTCTAACAGGGCCGGATTTACGCATTGCTCAAGACATTGAGCAAATAAATATAACAAACAATAGGGTAAAAAATTACAAACTATTTCCATGTCTTCCACCTTCTTTATGTAGGCTAAACTAAATAGTCTAAACCTAAAAATTCTAAATCGAAAGATTTCAATATTCTGTGGCAGGAAACAGATGGGTTCAGGAAAAGTCTGAATTTGAACCAGCAACCGAAATGAATATTTTTTTAAAACATGATATATGCTACAGCTCTGCCTGTGTTAATATGCCTTTTTTTTTTTTATCAAAGGGCATTATTATAACTAATTTAAATTTAGAGTTTCTTTAACCTTGTTATCTTTTCCTCTTCTTCATTTGGACAACAGCTACTCCTAAACTTTTACTCAATCTCTCAGTTCTTGTAAATGTTTCTTGCTAATGAGCACAGCCCACCGGGAGTTTCCAGTCAGAGCTCTTACAGGGTCACATTTGCATGGGAGCAGCTCAAGTAGAATCTCCCAGCTTCTGTTGCTGGTTTCCTGTAGTTGTTTTTAATTCTCAGAACTCAGATTTACATTTGTTTGTGGGATACTTGCAAATAATCTGCAGCTGTTTGTACTTCAAATGCCCAAAAGGGACAAATGTGGAGAGTTACAGAAAATAAAGTGAACAAAATGATTGGGTTTTCAGGAAACATGAGCAAATGATTTTAAACAGAGATCATGACATTTTTCATTAGATACAGACAGAAGCAATGAAAAGTAAATATGACATTGGAGCCTATTTTGATTTTGATTTGTGTGTTCTCCCTATTACACCAAATCGAAAGACTTTGTTATCAATGTGAATTGTAAATTGTTTGATTGCTATAGTATTAATATTGGTGATAGTTGATGGTGTCTGTTATTGACTAATTTTTCCTTTACATGTTGTGTTTCTTGTGTCTTCCCAAAGATGCAGATTCTCGACAAGTTCCCAATTGAGGGAGGGCAGAAAGATCCCAAAAAAAGGATCATCCCTTTTCTTCCAGGTGATTTTAGGAGGAGTTTGTCCTCCCCTTCCTCTCCTTTGCGCACACACAAACACACAGACCTGCAAGCACATGGCGTCAGCAGATCTGTCCACAATAAGTCATGGTTACGCTGGGATGGGGTCGTGCTTCCGTTCTTGACTTACTCAAATGCAGGAAGCAGGCACACGAGTCATTGAGATGAGCAGCACCGTTCCCTGAGAACAAAAGCCATCAATAAGAAGAAAATGAGAAGAGCGAGACAGAGACACAGAGAGATCGAGACACGTTTTCCCGGCTTGCTGACGCACTGCTCTATTCCCTGGACATTTAGTGTCTCTCTCTTGTTCTTGGTTTTCCAGCAGTCCCTCTGGTTCTCTCTGTTAGTTCTCACATCCCTCAATACGAACACACTAGCTCAGATTATCACTGGCTCCATTAGATTATTTACTGGAATGCAGTGTAATTGGTTAGATTACTAGAATATTAAGTGGTTTATAAAACCATTCAGAGCATTTGTAAGGGAATAATAGGGTGTCAAGTGTCAAACCATTAAATTTGTCTTCATTTAATTCCATTCTGATTATTAGACTCCATTGGGACCTTAAAGAGGGACAGATCAGATTTCTCTCTATACACATGTCTATAAACTATAAAGAGTTTTGTATTATTGTTGCTATTTTTGTTGCTGTATTTGTATTTTTTTATTACTATAGAAGACATCATGTCATGGTGTGATAAATGCAAAGTACAGTCAGGCCTCTTTAAACCTCTACTAAACTAAATATTTGCGATCCTCAATATTTTGTTCCACTTTCCTCTAAGCTAATGGTTTCTATATTTATAAAACTTTGTACATTAAATTTTAAATCACCTCCGAGTTAACAGACTTGGACTAAATGCCACTCATTTCAGTGTCTTAACGTGAAATTTACTAGCAATTTCTGAGTAAAATTGTTTCTACACCAATATTTTTTCAGTGTACATGTAGAATATAATAGAATATGAAACAAGTCAAGGTGAATCTATGGTTTATAAAGGTTTTGTTCATTCTGCACAATGCTGAGTATCTCTCAGTGTTTCCTTGAGCGTAAGCAGCTTGAGATAGGAGAGAATAACAGCTGGAGCTTGGTGTTATGTGGTGATCTTATCTCCTCCAAACCTCTGAATCTGATTAGGATGTTCCAGATCTGAAGAATAACACATGGCGTCTCTCTTCAGTAGCTTCTCTGTTTATCATGTTTCTAAACATTTTCTTATGGGTTATTCTAAAATGCACTGGACTTTGCTCACAGCAGTGAGTGGGGCTCAATAATAAAGATGATGTATTTATTCCCAATTGGGCCAGTATATCTGATTTTTACTTGCCCTGTTAACATTTTCATTGGTTCAGCCATGAATATCATAAATAGTTATCTAAGCTGCATATTTTTATTTTATTTTATTTAGTTATTTTTACATTTTAATTAATTAATTTTTATTTTTTTTATCAAATGAAATCAAATCAAATCTAAAATCAATAATGTAACAATATAAATTTATGATCACAGACTTTCTGGAAAGCAATGGAATGAAATGCAACAGACTTGTGTATTATTTTTAATGCATTCTAACTGCTTTCCAAAATATTATTCAAGTTATTCTTGCAATTTCAGCAAAAAGCTCTTTCTGGAACCTAGATAATGTTATTATAGATATTATTATGTTATTACATACTGTTGTTATAGAATGATTTTATAAAGTAGACCACATATTTGATTCTACCTTTTATTTTAAAGGTAAAATCATATTCCGACGAAGTCATGTGAGAGACGTGGCCATGAAGAGACTACGCTTTATTGACGACTATTGCAGAGTAAGTCTCTCTTTTCCTTCCTTTCTTCCTTCCTCTTTGTCGGTGCTTTTGTGGTTTGTCCTCTTTTATTCTCTTATTTAATGTGTGTAGGCTGTATTACTTTATTTAGAAAACCATTAAACTGTGAGAGGTCCTTTATAGCCCTTTTCCTTTGACAAACACCGTTGTTTGCGTTTGTGTGTGTCACATGCTGTTCAGCATATGAGGTTGATATCATGATTAGGAGTGTGGTTATGACACTGGCGTTCCTCAGGGTTCAACATTAAGCCCCTTTTTGTTCTTACTGATATTCTTTGAAGTCCTTCTGCTGTTCAAAGAAGAATTACTTAGAAAGTACAAAATTCATTAAAAAAACATAAATATAAAAATTTGCAGTAAAATAAAGTTATCTAGCAGCATGCGGCATATGTGTGTTTACTGTGAGTGTGGTAAGATGTATTATTAAAAACAATGTGCGAATCATACTATGAATTTAAGGGTGGTCAACTTTTTAAATTAAGTAAATTAAATTAAACTGCTTTGTTGCATTGAAACTATTTAGTTTATGTATTTTCAAGACCCCCAGCCAATTGTTTTGACTTCCTCTAGGGGGTTTCAAGCTTTAAATAGCGGTGTCAAATCCCCCCAAATCAAAAATTTCACCCTGAACGAATGCATCAGGTTTTGAGAGTGAATTTGCCTCCTTATCAGACAATATCTCCCATCTTGTTGAAATATGATTATGCTAATGTGCTGAACAGCAAAACTCTTGCAACACACATGAAAAAGAGTCTGTTAAAGTAAACACGTCACATTCGGTTACACAAGTATATAAATTACAGCAAACAAACACTTGCACTTATTGGTGTTCACTGTCATGTTTACTTTGCCAATAGCTATAGGTTACCCAATAACACCCTTAAAATGATGTTTGAGGGACTTTAACGACTTGTTTCTTCCTCCTCTCTATTTCTCCTTCTCTTTATCTTTTCCCCTCGAGTGACTTGTCTCCTTTTCTTTCCTCCCCCCTTCTTCCTGATGGAATAGAGTCCACTTTTTTAAACAATCCACACAGACAAACACACTGCACGTGCAAACACACACATACACACACTCAAGTGGAGAGCAGCTGTTAAAGTGGGCTGAGATGGTGAGATGGTGAGGCAGCATTATGGGATGTCTTGGATGGACTGCTGTTGTGACAATCTCCATGACATCCACACAAAGGACATTTAAAAAAGACACGTCCAAAAATAGTTTAGAACATAGAATTAATCTTAACATAAATGTGTCTTGAACATAACATAAGAGATGCCCATCATTTTATTTTAATATTACTTTTTAAAATCACTAAGCTATTGGCAGCTTTTGTTTAACATTTTCTAAATCAGCCTTTAATAAAAATATATACTGTACGTGTGTGTATTTATATATACATAATAAATAAACACAGTACGCATACATCTTTAGCTCTCACAAAAACTTTTATTTTGGATTGCGATTAATCATTTGACAGCACTAATATATATACTGTACACAAATAAAAAGGTACAAAACACACACATTTCTAAAACATTACCTAAAATGAAAATGGAAAATATAACAAAAATGATTTCAAATAATAATAAAAACTATAATAGTATATCATTGATTAAGGAGACACATCTCCATTTGATTTCCTAAAGAAACTATTCTGATATTAAAGAGATATCATTTTTTGATTGTATTTATTGTGGCGCTGGAAATGGAAGATTGAGTGGGTTGCACTGTGGGATACAATATTCCATGCAATGTTTTCTGGATATTCAAAGAATTTGCCGTACACAGTGTACATGCTGCATACAGACTCGCCTGATTTCTCACACTCCCACACATTCTGCATGGTGTTGTGTACATTTTTGAGCCTCGTGCTGTATTTACATACTTTCCTTTGATTAGCTCTGTAAAGATTTTTATAATTTGGCTCTCAAGAATGTCACTTCTTAATTGTAAGAGAATGTGTGTGTGTGTGAAGAGAGGTGCAAATGTGTTTCTATGTGTGAAAGAGAAAGAACCACACTTTTTCTTCATTATCCAGCTTTAAGTTACTCCCAACCCGACACATTTTAATCACAGAGATGGGATTGTTTAATTAACACTGATGTGAATGTGTGCAGTCCTCTGTGAGTGTGTATATGAACGTCTTCCCCCAGGCTGGGCCATAATTAGCTCTCATGAATCCCATGAAAATTTGAGCCAAAAGAATAACCTAAAAAATGAAAGACAAAAAAAAAATTAATAGAGAAGAGGAGAAACCCATGTTAAGAATAGTTACTACCGTTCAAAATTTTGGGGTCAGTAAGAAATTAATACTTTTATTCCGCAAGAATACATTAAATTGATCAAAAGTGACTGTAAATATATTTAGTGTTACAAAAAAATTTACAAAAATGTATCTGTAAATGTAAATTTGTCACCATTTCCACAAAAATATGAAGTAGCACAGCTGTTTTAAACACTGATAATAATACGAAATGTTTCTTTAACATCAAATCAGCTTATTAGAATGATTTCTGAAGAATCATGTGACACTGAAGACCGGGGTAATGATGCTGGAAATTCAGCTTTGCATCACAGGAATAAATTAACAGATAGTTCTGGTCCTTGATTCTGATTGGTTGAGCCGCGTTCGAAGCTGTTGTAAACAAAGACTATAGAATACCCAAGACGTGTCACTAGTATAATTTTGAATGGGGAAAAATGCAACAATCAATCAATCGCAGGAAGCCCCGCCTTCTGAATGAAAGAGCCAATCGCTAATCGGTAAAGTCAGCGCGTCACTGCAGCTGCCGTTAGAAGTCCCGGTTGCTATAGAAACAGTCAGCGCTCTGAGACGTGCGCTTAGGACTGCGCATGCGCACTGGCTGATCTTGCCTGAAAAATAAGCTTTTTATGATGCTATTTGACGAAAAGAAACAACATTTATGACACAGTTGTTGTCAGATTTCTTTGATGATTTCAAATATGAAATTTAATCGTAAGCTTAGTGCGTTTTGTAGTGATGGCCCACGGTCTCATCATCACCTTTAATTAAATGCCTTAATGTAGTTTCATGAGCAGATGTGAGTCTGATGGCAAAGCAGCACCCTTGAGGTATGGCTGATTTTGGGTGTTTTATTCTCTTTAGTTGCATGTAGGCCAACTGTTAAATCATTTTGTGAGCTTTTTTGGGGTTGTTTCAAATATTCTTTTGAGCCATAACATTTATAGTGTGTAAAGAGTGTGGTGAGGAAGTTTTCTACTGTAGTAGAGAGGTTCATGATAAATTATGAATATCTGGATTAATATCATGTGTGATATTATCAAGCTATACCTTACAAGTAGTCCTTTTCTGCTTTTGTGCTGATTTCATTTCTGCTTTTCTGATGGAACTAAATTTTGCAGACTGCTCAGTGCAGTACAAGTATGAAAGATAAAAGATACCTAACAGGAATATACTAATACTGATACACTGCACAAAATTATAAATGCAACACTTTTGTTTTTGCCCCCATTTTTCATGAGCTGAACTCAAAGATCTAAGACTTTTTCTATGTACACAAAAGGCCTATTCCTCTCAAATATTGTCCACAAATCTGTGTATCTATAGCTGTGTCTCATTTAGAAGGCTGCACCCTCTGGAGGTCGCATCCTCTGTAGGATGCATATAGGAAGTGTCCTCAACCTAGAATTAAACGAGATGGCCTTCGTAGGACGGGCGGAAAAGGAAAGCGGAAGTATCACGTTGCTATGCCAACACATTTAGAGCATCGTTGCACTCTCACGGTACTTAAATGAAGGAAAATTATTTCTAAATTTGGAAAGTAATTTGAAAAAAAAAAAGCTTTTGCTTGTTTTATTGTGTTCAATATTTGAGGAGCTGCAGTGTACCTACAGCAGGCATCTATTAGAGAAAAAAAGGAGGAGGATATTAAAAACAAAGTTGATCCGTTTTTACCGAGGCGAATTAAGGTAAGTTGTAAACACCACATCTGTGCTTGTGTGTACGTTACATCTGCCGGCGCCGGCATTTTTCAAATTAACAACGGTTGTTCACGGCGATGCAAAGAATTGTGGGTTATCTGTAGCAGCGAAGGATACACCTCATGCATCCTCCGAATTCCTGTGAAAGAAGGTCGCATTCGAAGGTCGCATTCGGAGTGTCCTACTTGCTTTTCTGAAATGAGACAGCCTCGATGACGTATGCAGCCTTCGAATGCGACCTCCGGAGGACGCAGCCTTCTAAATGAGACACAGCTTTTGTTGTAAATTACTCATAAACATACACCTTTGTTTACTTTGTGTGTTGGTTGGCAACCACAACCGTTTCTGAGGAACTGCATTGTTTGGTGGAAGAATATTGCTTTTATTAATATCATTGCACTTTATTTGCTCTGTTTTATTTTGTGAAACCTAACTACGTATATGGAATAACCGTTTTATAATGGAATTTATTCCTGTGATGCAAAGCTGAATTTCCAGCATCATTACTCCAGTCTTCAGTGTCACATGATCCTTCAGCAATTATTCTAATATGCTGATTAAAATATATTAAAATAGAAAACAGCTTTTTTTAAAATTGTAATAATATTTCATAAAATAACTGTTGTTACTGTATTTTTGATCAAATAAATGCAGCCTTAGACACTCCTTTCAAAATCATTACACATTTTGAACAGTAGTGTAGGCAATATATTTCAATTCATTATTTATTTTAATTTCTTTATTTTAAATATAAATAAATGGCACCATGAAAGCAGTACAAATGACTTGGGCATCAAAGGCTTTTTTTATTATAATTTGTAATGTATTTTTATTTTAAATGAGGGCATAATTACTGTCACTCTTTCAGTCGTTGCCGGATTGTTTTGTAATCTCACGTAAGCTGCTCTGTTTGCTTTAGTAGTGGAATGAAAAAATGAACTCGTATTATATCTTTTTCTTTTCTGTTGCTTGGGCACTGTTTCTGTACTCAGAGCTGTCCGTCACATGCTCATTTGAAATTCTCTGCTTTTCTTTCCCTCTGTCTGGATTTCTCCCTGGTGATATGAAGTAGGCAATCTATTTTCATGTTCAAAACACATTCATCATATGCTGCAGTGGCTACACACAACCATGCACACACACACT